TTTTCAATCCAATTACTGTTATTTAGAGCAACACGAGTCTGCCTGCAATTTGTTCGAAAGCTATACCGTATACTGGATTTGAGATATAAACGAGCTGAATAAATCAACTTAGATTCAATCCTCTGTGTGGGATGGAAATTTAGAATTTACAACTGGTACATGAGTTTGCTGTTTTTCTTTAGTTTGGGGGGATAATGTTTGTCGTCCAGTTTTGTTATTGTAATTTAAGAAATGTTAAGGTTATTTATACTATCTGTAAAGAGGAAAGATTTAAGAATAAGCTCCGAAACTATTGATCTGATTTTAAAAGGGCAAAAACTGATAACTAGCGTGCGGTAATCTTAATGATCATGATACTTTCAAAGATAAAATTTTAATATTATAGATACCAAATGTCATATGTTATTTATCTTAAATGCTTAGGTATGTAGGCTATTTGAGACATTAAAAATATTAATTTTTTGGTGTAATTTAAAGTAATTTTGTGTATCGTAATTCGACTTCTCGATTCTATCATCCAACCATCATATCAATCCAAATTTTAACCTGTTATCCATATATGTTTTCAATGACGTTTTAGCTAGGCACGATTAACTAGTTACATAAAATATTCATTGACTTTAGGAGACAGTTGTTTATTAAAAAAGGTTGAATGACGAACTTAATGTTTGATATATTTAGAGGTGCTATTCTAGTAGTCAGTTTCAAAATAACATTCGTCTTGATTTCCATCATTTAATTTTATCTTTTGTTATGAACAGTAAGTATTAAATACATAACGAGACAATTGACATATACACAAACACGTTTTGAACTAACCGTGTAAATGCTCTTCAAATCGTTAGTCCCAAAAGCAGTATAAAACTAAATTACTGCCCCTAAAAAAGTTTTGTACACTTTTTTCAATTAAAACGTTATGTTGAAAATGCTATAAAACCGGACTGTAGTGGATAACCGTATCACCATTTTCCAAATACAGTGTAATTTGTGTAAACGTCCATTCGGACAATAGCCAGTGTTGCTTGAGCTTCCAGAGTAGAATTGATTCGGTCGGAGTACGAGATGTGGGGAGTACGATGGGCCAAGTTACGTTGGTGTTGTATTAAAATTCGAGCTTATGAATTCCCTTGTTGGTACACACGTCATACTGCACGCCTGAGAGTAGAATGCTCTAATATGCCAGAAAATATTAATCTCCGACTCTACGAGCCACTGATGCCCTCCTTTGAGACTTAATATTATCGTATTAATAATCAAGGACTGTAAGGCAGTTTTTAGAATAGTACTAATAATATTATTAAATCCATATTTTACTCTTCACAATAGCCACTGAGTTGAATATATCTTCACAATAGGATACTAATATTTTTTGTTAATCAGGATGAATAGTAAATTAAATGATTTTTTTTCTATTAGTCTCATCTGTTTTCTTTTAGGTTAAGGAACTTACTTCAAATGTAATAAAATGGGAAAATAGACCTGAATTGAATAATCGGGCTTCAAATACGAATGTCAACATACGGGCTTCACGTCCTGTGCGTATAAAAGTATCTTTATAATCAGTTCTGCATTGACAAACTAGACTAAATTTAATTCTGAATACTGAATATTCTTATTATAAAATGAGGAGTAACTTCAAAGTAGATCCTCGTTTTTTTCCCCGTTTTTTTTTATGCCACCAATGGTTTTTGGTTTACCAAATGTCATAAGATATATTGAGTATAAAAGAATACATAGATCACATATATTATAGTACTATACTGATAGGGGAGGGAGTTGGAGCAAAATCGTCATAATTTTATAATAGATTTAAAAACTATTATTTATTTACCCTTTGGACGGACGGAAAAATCCAAATTTTTCAGATAGCGCTGACTAACTAGATAAAGTTTGAATTGGTCTTTATTCTAAAGTTTGAATTTGTATTCGAATTTTAAAAACCTTAATTTAACATATGCTAGAATTAATAATCTGTATATATAATTGAATCCCTGTTTCCTTTGGTCACGTCATCACACGTGAATGGTTAGACTGATTTCTCTAATTCTTTTTTTTATTGTCAGGAGAAGGTTATGAAAGAAAAAATAAGAAAATTGTGTGTAAAATTTGAAATTTTAAAAATATTTAACCACCATTGAAAATTATTATCAATCTCATCTTAGTGCTTTGGATAATATATTGAATGTTCAATTCAATTCAGTTCAAAGTTCTATTCAATGTTTCCGAAATTCACTGCTAAAGCTTTAATTGGGTTAATAAAGTTGAGTAGGTATGCTTCTTAGCTCATATGTCTGTGTCCAAATTAAGCATTTAGTAAATAAACTTGCAAACGGACAGTTAACTAACATTGTTAACTACTTAACTAATGAATGTATGACTAGAAGATAAAAGCAACTTACCTCACAATACATTATTTAACACACGAAAATAGTTGAAATGAAATGAAATGAAAGTGTGAAAGTTACAATTTCAATCTATACTAATATTATAAAGAGGAAAACTTTGTTTGTATGTTTGTTGGTTTGTAATGAATAGGCTCAAAAACTACTGGACTGATTTTAAAAATTCTTTCACCATTTGAAAGCTACATTATCTACGAGTAACAAAGGTTATATTTTATTTTGGAAAAAAATAGGGTTCCGTAACATATTTGGGTTTTTCGGACACAAGATGTAAAAAATCAACCAGAAAAGTTACTTATTTTGCGTACGCTGCTTAAACTATAATAGATAGAACCATAAAATGTTCTTATTAATTATAGATATCTACAAAAAAAGTCCGCGACACACTATACCTATCTGAGGCAGAACAACCATTTTTTGTTTGTTTTTGGACTACATTTAAATGCGTTTTTTTACTCATGCTAATATTAAAATTAATTACTTCACTAAGTACAGTTTACGTAGATAATAATATTTGGTCTTTGAATGAATAAAATTGGACGTTTGGTTTTAAAGTTATGGCGAAATTAAAATACTACGATATCTGCTGCACGGCCCGTTGCGAAGTGGGCGTCACCAAGGCGGGGGGTGCGTGCGGTAGGGGAGTTTATATCTATGAGTAAGGTACTAGCGGACCACGCGGGCGAAGCCGCTGGCGGAAAGCTAGTTAAGATATAACTAGGAATCTTAAATAAAACGATCCCTTATTTATCACAGGATATTGACTTACTAAAAACTAGAGTCTAAGCATTCGCTATACTAATTTTTGTTTCTTTGTCCGTCAGGTAGATTATTGATGAATATTAAATACATATTTTGTATTTTTTCTATAATCAATTAATTGCATACATTGAGTTGAAATATCGCGTGACTCTTTTAATAAATATGTTATTACTTGATGGCGCAGTGGCGCTTGCTCTACTATACGGTGGTCAAGCAACTTTCGCAAGGGCCGGTCATAGAATGGGTGACCAAAAAATTATTATCTCGAGCTTCTCCATGCTTCGGAAAGCCCCGGCTGCACCTGTAATCGTTAACACCCACCACACTGGGCATGGAAGGTGGGTCATGGCCCTCTCTCCCTATTCGATATAATTCGATTCCATCCATAAGCCAGGCCTGATCCCCAATAGTAAGCTGGTGATGATGAAGATGTTATTACTTAATATTTAAATAAATAATTTATTCAGTTATATTATAATTAACATATTACATCAATGTTTAATTATTTTAATTATTGAAATATTACATCATCTTTCATCATATTCACATTCACAGAATATTTGTCAGACAACACTAACAAAAGTAAAAATAGTTTCACTCTATCTACAAATACTTTCTCTTTTATTACACCTAATAGTATTGAATTCTTACCCGACTACGGCGAAACGAAAAAGACGGTTATGATTTTAGCCGGTATATTTATAAGAATGTTTATCTATTCCCTTATAAATCCGAAAGTATTCCTCGTAACTGGACAAATGAGGTATCATTAGTAGCGTTTTAGTTGTCCGCGTGCTAAAGGCTATGTGACATTGCATTAAATTGACAACAGAACCCTCTAGAGAGCATAAAGTAAGAAACTAAAATTCCATGTAGTGTATCAAATGAAAGGGCTTAATTAGCACATTTTAAATATATGGCTTTTGCTTGTGATTTTGCTTAAATACACCCGAAAATTAATTAAATAAAAGAAACAAGTTCAAAACTAGTTCAGCTAAATCACGCTTTAAAAAGTGTGGAACAAGAAATTAATTTTATAACGATAGTACGAAAGTATTCTGTCTGTCGTACGCTGTCCTTTGGTCATCGTTATTACAATGTAGCTATCGCTATAAAATAAATTTCTAGTGAAGAATGCTTAATAAATCCTTTGTCCCTGGCACTCAGTGATTAGATGTGAACAAATAAAAACTGAATACTTAAGATGTATAAGATCAATTACTAATTTTTTAATATATTTTTTATTCAACATACGTTATTGTAAATGTCTAATATGTAAATAAAAAAAATAATAAAAAACAGGTACAAAATAATAAAAGTTAACCAAACGTAAAATGTATAATGATGCATCTTAAAAATGCAACCTAATGTTAAAATAAAATAACTTTAAAAACTTAATAACTAAAATTTTCTAGATGCCACTTCCAGTGACGCACATCTTAACTCTGTTTGTTTTCTTTCTGATTGTTTCTTTTTGCTGGTTACCCTCATATTGTAATCTAATATAAGGTACTGTATGCATAGTTTTTTAAGTCAAGAAGTGTTGTATTGTATACGCTTTTCGTAGTTACTACGATTTTTATTTTTTTGTCAATTCCTCACGTAAGTGAATTATGTAAATTCTTGTGAGAAATAAATATCTTAAACCACAGATGTGGATTTTATAGCATTTTTCATTAAGAATATTTTTCGTATAGCATTGTTAATGCAAAATTGAGCAAATATAATGAATTTCTTGTTTCAAACTTTTTAGAGAGTGATTAAGCTGTTTTTTAGTTTAAGTTTTTGAATATATTTTTCTGATTAATATTTGAGAGTGCTGTGTCAGAATGAGTAATGCGTAATGGCAGTAGGAAGATATTCACGGTTATTTGTTCCGAGAAACTGTGGGGCGGAAATACACTGCAGTTTCCAATAGCTTGGGTGGCTGGTATGGCTGGTACTGAATAGAGATATTACTTTATTGGCATGTATCTATATTTGTTTAATGAATTTGTTTTTAAGGCTCCTAATTCTTATATTTAACAATAATCGTATTGTTTTTTTGTAAGTATATTCTATTTTTTGCTAAAAGAGAGTCGAAATGTGGGCGGCCATCACAAAATAACGTGTGACGTCAAATTTCAAATAACAAAACGTCAACGTCTTTGCTGCGAGTATAACCAAACCAATTCTGTTAATGTTACGTAACAATCACACTTGAATAGAATCTCAACTACTTGTTTACCATTATAATATCTATCTAAACTCCAATATAATTAAATAATGGTAGGTTAATGGTGACAGATATATAATAATATTGATCTTCAGATATATATAATAATGGCAAAAGGCGTGTAGTTTAAAATTATATTGAGATGTGATTATTACGTAAACATTAGCAGAATTGGCCTGCAGTATTCGTGTTTATTGAAATGTGACGTCACGGCTTGAAATGTCACGGACTGTTTGTTTTTGCGGAACAATTTAATAAAATGTATGTTTTTCCTTTATTAAATAACACTTTTAGCGAAAAAAAAATCTGGTAATGGTTATATGATCACATGAAAGTTTTAAAATAGTTAACCACACAGTCAAGTGTCCAATTATTATTCCACATGCTATCTAACATACTTATAAATTAACACAGGCAAATAAACAGATGAAGAGAAATTTTATATATATCTCTATCTATGTATTCCGTATCTGAAAATGAATCAACGAAACCTTCATAGAATCGGTCCGTTAGTTGCAGTTGATATACTCCAGAGTTATTGGCCTAATTGAATTAAGGTTTGGTACACATATGTAAGTGGGTGAGACAAGAGTAGTCTTGCAACATCAATAAAGGGATTTTATGACTATTTTGTTTATTTTATATTATTATATATTTATTTATTTTGGTATATTTTAGGGGGCAAATTAGAAAAATTAAAAATGTTACGTATATTATAGGTATTCTGCGACTTATCAAAAGGGCACCTCACGACAATACGAAATATACTTTTTTTAAAGATATCTAAAGCTCTCCAGCAGCAAGGCCCAGCTAAAGAGCTGATTAAAACGCCACAGGTATACCCAGCAAACCCTCTGCGATGTATACTCACTTTGATGACCATTTTTCGGTCTCCCATTTCGCTTGAGATCATTCTCTTTGATAGTTTTAGAAAGTATCTACTTTTAATGAAGGAACATATAATCTATAATAATCTTCAAAAGAGGTAAAGTATCTTAGTTTCTTTATAAAAGATAATCTTTAGAAATACCGATCCGATCATGGAAATTCTTTCACTTATGGCAAGCTACATTATAAGCGATGCTTGTGCTATCTATCGTTAATATTTATAAAGTCGATTATATTTAGATCATAGAATGAGTTACAGTTATATGAAACATATTTTTTTTTGTAATTATTTTTATATAACTTTTTTTTATCTATCTATAATACTAATGCCGCTGTTCTTAAATGTTCCTTAATTTTCTATTTCTTGGAAGTTTCCGAAGATTACCCCATAGAAACAAACAAGTTTGAAATTTTATCTCTTTATAATATAAAAAAATAAAATAATAATAGGGTACATAAGATAATTTTATAAAAGGAAAATGTTCTTTCGTATTTTTAAATAAAAGATATATAGTTTCAACATACAAATAATATTGTAGAAGTAGTTATAAATAATATTGAAATCAGAAAAACATGACATCGTAAATAATTTTAAAATTAAACAACATGAATTAAAAAGTTATTTTACGTATAACCAAAACCTTAAAATAGAACAGCTGTGTAAAAAGAGACTACAATACAAAAACGAATTAAAAAGGAAAGTTCTAGATCTATTGAAAAATACAGTACTTTAATAGAATGGACTTTTTAACTGTTCACAAATTGCGAAATTCACGAATAATCTATAAAATTACCTCAAATGAACAAAAAATATATATTCATTAATGTACCAATAGTTACTTCAAACTAATCGATATTAATTATTCTGTCTAGACAGTTTCAAGTGAAACTTGAAAATCTAGTAATCAATTAATAAATTTGCACCGGGAAAGCTTGTACTAAGACATCGGCAAGAATTATTTTATACAGATCTGTTAAATAGAAAGTCAACATTAGTTCATTTCTATTAACAGTTTAATCATTATTTGTATAAATATGTATATAAGCTGTTTTGCCGCGACTTCGTCCGTGCTATTTATAGCTTAGGTCACGTATTATGTAACTTACCATAGGTGAAAGATTTTTTTTATCGATCTGTGCTTTCGCAGCCTCTTCAATGCAAACAAACAATCACTTCCTTCCCCTTTTTAACTTAAGGTACAATAATGAAAATACAACAGCTAAAGAGAAAAATCTTCATAATTCATCAATTATTCATCGTCCTACGTAGCAGAGTGGCTTGCACTTTTCGCTTGCTCGCTTTCAATTCGGCGACATACATAAGGTCCCAGGTTCTATTTCCGAGTCGGTTATATGTAAAAAAAATACTTTTCTACATTCTCTCGCACTTACCGCAGAGATCTAGTATCTATTATAGGTATAAACTATTATTTATTTTACCCAGTATAGCTACTTTACACATGTCACTTTGAAAATTCTTCGATGATTCGATTGTCATGTATATATATAAATTTACCATAAACGTTATATCTTTTAATGACAGAAATAAAATTTATACGCATATATTTCCGCTTTGTGCCATTTAATTACATCTTTCATTACGTCTATTCCTGTTACAAAGTTAGTTGGATTTTCTTAACCTCTTTTACTATATAGCTACTTTTTCTTCGACCAAATGCAATTTTAAAACTCCTGTGAGCATTAAAGAGGTATCAAAATAAAACTCATCACGATTAATTTTATATAGTAAAGAAACCAACTCGGCGAACTTCATACTGCCATAAAATTTATAAGTACTAAGATTAAAAAGATAAAAAGTATATTATTTGTTAAGTAAAATTAAAGTACCATTCAGTTGTAACTTTTTAAATTCATCAAGATTTTAGTTTTGGAAACTATCGTTAACAAACATTGTGACATGCCTAATGCGGATAAGAGGAATATTTTTTTTTTAAATATCGATTTCGCTTTTCTTTGTTAAGTATAAACTTTAAATTGCAAAGATCCCTGTGAACGTAGCTTGCATAGAAATTGCTAGATGGCGTAGTGACGATACGTTGTTCAGAGGGGCTGATTATAATTTCTTGAATTTTTAACGCGATTATAATTTATTGAACGTTCATTACTCAAAATCGCAATTTTTGCATTGTGTCACTATCGTTCTCAACGCACGAAATGTTTTTTGTTATTCAGGAAAAAAAATATTGTATAAAAATAAGTTAATGTAAATTATATTTACGTCTTTCTCTCTCTTTTTTACTAACATCGGATATGAAGACGAAAAAATATGAACTTTTATAATTGCAAAAAACGGCATTACATTTTAACGCAAAAACGAATAATTATGCTTTTCCACCTATTTATATTTCCTGTCGCTTAGGCCGAGTAACAATGGCCTATTTCCCTAATTGAGTATACCCGTTCCTCATATTGTATTAAGAAACAATATCTGTCCATGAAAAAGTTACCGTTTACTACTTATGAGTACCCGGAGGTCGATGACCGATATTTGTCGATATACCTACAGTTTCTTTGCTACTTGATAAAAAAATCATTAAATAAAACAACTTTTAAACGGATATATGTTTGAATTTTATTTCACTTTTAGACGTTTTAGATCCTTTACCGGTTCCGTGTTTATCTTATATTATTTAATAATTATATAAATAAAAACAGTATTTCCTGTGTCTACATTATATTTCTCGGCACTTTATGGCTTTATTGTATTTTACCCGCCCCAAAACAGCGGTTCCTTGAATATAAATCTTTTTTAACTTAGCATTTGTTGTTACAACAACATTATTTAGAATTCAGCCAAAAGGAGGAAAAATCTATTTAATGATTGCTAGCAAATTAATGCTTATATAATAACACCGCGTAAGTTGGAAATTGGTATATCACGTTTTATACCACACTGGAAAGATTTTATCGCAACCAATGATTTTCAGAAATATCAATAATCAAGGCGCGTCATTTTTAAAATCACAATCAAGAAATGGCATAACGTGATATGCCCGAGCAGATCTCGATCGGCCCATTCAACGATTGGCTCACAACTATAGGTATATAACACATTATCAATTTTATTACATTGTCGGCAGCTAATACGTAAACTATATAATTTAATTATAAAAGATACATTAGCCGAGAAACATATATATTTAAATGACTGATGAATGAGTTAAGTAATAAAATCGACAAAAGTTATAAAATTTGAAATTAAAAATATATAATAACACTATCTATATAGATGTTACCAAAACTATCGTTATAATTATCAAAGACGCTCCTTTAATTGAATTTCGATTGTATATCTTACTACTGTATAAAATTAAATATAATAAAGTTAAATTACATCCCAAACCCGAAGAAAAGGTATTTTTTACCTTTTATTAAATCAATTTCTCGAGCTTACAGCCAGTTGCACAAATGTCCATTTTTCATTAGTTAAAAGTGTCATTACCCATACAAATTTGACATTCATTAGAGCTTAACGGCGTCATTAAACCTTAATGGACGTTTGTGCAACTGACCGTTAGTCAGCCTTTTATTCATTTACCTAAGCAGCGAACCCATCACATCTCTCTATTCGATTATATTCGATTCCATCCATAGAGAAGGCCTGCTCGCAGCATTAATAGGCTGGTGAAGATTACGATAAAAACATTGTTTACATTGTTGTTGCAGATGCGAAGATGGTGGAGGCGGCGCAGCGACAGGGACCGGCGGTCGGGCGGCATCGCTGCGACTCGCCAACGGGCGGGTGGCGGCACAGTCAGCGGAACAGCTGCCGCACTCGCCCGCAGACTGCGCATCAGTGCGCATATCCATCGATAACACCAATACATGCTGCACCGACTCGCTCGTTACCGCACTCGACGACGAGACGTTGCTGTTGGGTAAGTCGCTAGAGTTTATCGCGGAGACATCAGCACACGTAGTATAACTAACTCGAGAAACTCTCGAGCGACTCTAAATGGTCGAGAGACTCGAGGAACTGTTCGAGAGCATACAATAATATTACACTCTTGGTCTCGCTCTCGCCCGTTTCAAGAGACTCTCGAGATCGTGATGCTACACAGGTTAAAGGACCTTTTGGATATTGATTTATAAACAGATCTTTGTTATGGAGATCTCTCCTCTCCACCACATCCATCCACCATAAGGATATAAAAACCCACCACATACACCACCACGTCGATATGAAACCGATACGTAAACCTAAATGCATTAGAGAGAGAACTAGAGACATTTTTTCTTTTTCTGAATACTGTTTTCCACTGTTACCTATTTAAGTTAATTTTTTCTTATCCTGAGACATTATTATTATAAACATTAGATAGATGTCGTCTACCGGCAATTGGTATATCCACTTTAATGTTTCTTATTCATACATAATAATGGTATCATTGAATCCCCACATTCAACACAAAGATCACTATTGACGATATAGTATTAGAATAAGTAAATGAAAAAATATAATATAATAAATATATACATATAATAAATATAATGGAGTAAATCCCTTGGTAGCAATCACAAAAGCTGATAAGAGCAGTTTCTATATACAACGTGAAGTTAATTCCAAAGCTAATATCTATATTAATATTATTATTGGATCATGTGGAAAGAATTCCGGATGAAAAAATTACGGAATTGATATAAAACGCGAAAATTTAGAAGTCGAGGAAGGCCACGACACTTCTATCACGATATCAAATCAATCGCACGCTCCTAGGAGGCGATGTCTAAAGTCATAAAAACCGGTCAGTATGTATGAAAAGAGTAATGAAAGGAATGAAGCGAAAGATGTGTTTGAAGACCGTAAATCCCCGATCCTTCTCCAATCTAGTTCGCAGTGGGTAGGCCTGCTACGCTTCCTGATGACCGAAGAGCTCATCAGAGGATTTAAGGCATAAGCTGCATTTCACATGCATTAACAAAAAAGGTTGGCTATCTCTGTCTAGCCTGCAAAAGATCTGGCGTATAGATTGTAATGATTATCCACAGCAAAGGTATCAAGATTACACATGATATTATATTCATTACGATTTTCCTACTCTTTATATGTCGGGAAGTCCATGTGGTAAATGTAAAGTACATGTTTCCTTGAAATATTAGATCATCAATGATCATCTGAAACAAAGCATTCACAATTATTCTTTGTAATCCTTACATACATCATATTCGAAAACAAAGTCCCCGTGGCATCCGTCTGAAAACAACAAACTCAAAATTACCTAAAGTGTTTACGAAAGAGATTTTACATGATTTTGTCTAAATAGTCAAAGTAGTAATCTATGAGGAATTTTTAATGTAGGTATTTTGTAAACATACATAGGTAGTACAAAAATTACATTGGTAGCAATGGCATTACCCACCGATTGATCCATGTACATCCATGTACAAATAATATTACAGATGCAGCCAAACCGACTGCCTAATGACTTGGTTTCTTGAAACTTAGTAGGTCTCGCATGGCTTGTTTTCATTAAGTGCTCTTTGGTTTTTATTAAGTGCTATTTCTAAGGCAATGCACAAATAATCCAAGTCAAGTTACACACTCATTAATTAAAATTGAAATCATACATTAATGTTGATAGGTATGTCTAAAATTGAAATAACTGGAATAATTAAGTACGTTAATAGGTATTTATATCAATGTAATGAGTTGATTATCTTATCGACTCGTAACGTTGATATCCATGGAAAAAAATGTTAACGTAATAATAAAAACCTAGCTTATTTTATTTGGTATAAATAAAATAATAAAGTTTGACTTCAAACATTAAAAATGGTCTGTTTTTCGTGATGTCGTAGTCTCTCAATCTTATGTTTGAAGGAAAGATAAGGTACTTACGGTCTGATGGATTTCGCCAGGAGACATTTAGTTACTTGTCTTCAATCCGAGTACAAGATTCACTAGGATAGATCACAATTCACACACAGTTGTAAAGAAAATAGAAAGGAAAGCGATGGCGATGCATGAACAATTACTCTACATGACGAGTAACTTATGTCAGGTGGAGGTAATTAGAGACATTATAAAAGGTTGCGGGTAGAAAGAAAAGGAGAAACAATTTTGAAAATAAACGTTTTTGCGCGCCAACAAAAAACATGGCGGCAGACAGATTGACGTTCTTACTTATCAACAATCTTATTTCTATGCTCATATCGTCAAGACTCGTTAGGTTTCAGTTTTGATAATTATGTACCTATCAACTAAATTTCGCTTTACGAAGACGTCGTTTAATAAAATTTTAATAATTTAAAGTTACATTAAGGTCAATTAATCTTTACGAATGTTATAATACCCGTTTCAGTCATTCAATTTATCTGAACGTATTAGACTCAAGCACTATGCAATGTATTTTCACACGAATTCATTGGGAGAATTAATTCAGTGAATATAATGATAATAATTATCGCAGATGATGAAAATAATGCATTCAATAAACAAAAAATGAGATTTAAAAAATTACTTATATGAATAAATTATATTTTTTGCAACGTGAAAAATTAAAAGAAATAAATCATCCCTTTAAATTGTGGTTTATAACCACGAAATGATAAGATAAACGTCGTAAAAACCCAAAGGAATCGAATCCTTGAACGAACTAAATAACATAGTACAATAATAGACTCATTTGGAAATAGCACACAGTTATACAACCACATTACATTCCAAAGATACTTGTGTAGAAGCAATCGTTCCATTTCCATTCAATATTAGCAGATTGAGGGAGACAGAATATACCGTCTAATGCACAGTTCAATTGAAGGAAACCCTCTTGAGACTGTTTCATAATTAACTCAGGCAGATTGCTTGAATCCAATATTGGTTACATGTCTAATACTTTAGCAAAAGTAATATTATTCGAGTAAAAAACAATCTATTTAGTTTAATAAATATTATTAAATAACTGACAAAAATTTTTTTTTCGCTATTTGCGATTTTTTTTTCCTTTTTAAGAAACTTATTGGTACTTTAAGAAATGTTATAAATATATTGCAAAATTGGTCAACGGCTCTCGAATTTTAGGCTTAACAACACTTTTTTTAATATTTCATTCTGATTTTACTTATAGATGTATCAATTACTGTTTTATCTTGTATATCTGTCCTTTCATCCTCATTTCACAGCTAATTTGGTCGGATACTGAATGAATCAGTTGAGTTAAAATTATTATTCATGTAAATACGAAGCCGATAGCTTAAAAATCAATATTATGAATAAAATCATGTAAAATAAAATAAAATAAAACGTCATCTACGGAGGATGTTAAAATATGCAGTTTAAAATGTATAAGTTTATATAAATCATTATTTTTATTCAAGAAAATAACATAAATTGACCATTCCCCATTTTCTCTCCAAAGCTTCTGAGTACAACATATTCTATATAAAAAATCCAAAACATAGTTTTGAAATATTTGAATCATATTATGAACATGCTAGCTCGACTCGTCCTTGGTAATTTTTTTATAAGTTTATCAAGACGTCTCAAAACCTCGTTAAATGTCGACAAAGCGTCCAAAATCCTTAACTTAGATGTCTCGTTCCACAGAATATACAAATATTATGCAATGTTACATCAAATATTTATATTTCTATCATTTTTACCGAGATAGCTACCCTTGTATAAAAAACATCTTTCATCTTCAGCTTTCATTAGTTATTTTGTTTCACAAAAATAGAAGAACCTAACTTACTCTGTCTATTGTGCTTTCACTCTGAAAATTTGATATAAGAATATGTAGCATAAAATTCTTGGAAGAACATAGGAAAGTTTGTATTGCAGAAATAATATCTCAGAAGAGTAAATTTGGAAATTTATATGGCTATTTATTTAAGCAAATAAGACCATTAAATTGTACATTTTCACATTAAAATACAGATTACATTTATTTTAATAAAAAAATATATAATTCCACTATAATACCTCTTATAGAGATAAACCCACCCATTGTTACTAATTTATTTACTTGTTTTTATATATAATTTTGAGTGCAATAAAGAGTACTATATATAATAGTAGCTAAATTACTGACAACTGAATACTTATTCCACATAGACCAAGTCGCCGACAATAGCCAGTACCAATGCAAATGTAATTTAGTTCATAAAAACATATCCGGTGTTAAAAGGATCAAGCCTCACGTATCAATAACACCGATAGTCATTATTTTTATCAGTGAGGTCAAGTTAAAACCACTAACGATAATACTGACCTTTCTGGCTTAGATCCGGATCAGTTTAGTAGATAGCAGCAACGATTTGTTACAACCACTATACACCAAATCTGATAACTGACCTGATTTTGACGTGACCATTGTAACTTAAACCCTCTTTCCACTTGCGGGATAAAATCATCTTAGCTGCCTGCTCAGGATCTTAAGATGTAGATGAAATAGATCTTCGCCCACGGACTTGCCCTAATAATATAAAGGATCGTCACAAAAATGTGCAAGAGCTTTCTAAAGCTTGTTAGTTGAACATATTGAAGTACTAAAAGTATACCTCACTCAGTACCTAGTCATGTGGTGGAATACCTTGTCGCGATATGGCAATGTAGAGTGTAAAAAATCGTAACCTTAAAGGTGATTTTTAATAGTTTAAAATTAGCGTAAAACTTACTCTCAATATAAAAAGACTAAACAGCGAGATAGCAGATCCCAGAAGTTGGTATGAAAATGAGCTTCGAAAAAGTGATTATGATGGTAAATGAAATGTAGTCCGCAAGAAATATACAGGATATTTCTCTCACTATCGTAATTCTGTTGTTGGTTCAATATGTTGGTGTAAACAAAAATGTGATAGAATAAATTTTAGAAACTCATTTCTTTTTAAAAAGAGACTCATTGCTGCGACTTCCGCTGTGCCAGCACGTATACCATGTAACTATACTTACATCGATGTCATTAAAATCGAGATACAGTGTTTATTTTCAATACATAGTCGAATTGCATCAAACGTACACCAAGTTCAGTATCAGGATTCAATGTCAAGGAAATAGATGTAAATCGACTCTAATTCAAACATTTTATTTTCATTATAAATTATGTCCTAAAGATATAAAATATTGTCCTCCAGAATTTACTCATTGTTTTTCAGCGTGCAAGTATATTATTGAGTATTATTAAAATATCGAAAAATTAAGCGGTAAAATACCGATACCTGGCTATTAAAATGTGCAGTTTTGCTTACTAATTTACCAGGTTCCATTTCAGTATTGCACAAATTTTGTCAAAGTATTATCTAAACATTAAATTTTTGTTTAAAAAACTAAATTAACCATTCAACACTTCATTCTTTTTAGAATTGTGGA